GAAAAGGAGTACAACGGGGGTGAGGGCACTATTACTACTCCTAGTGCATCATCTCGTTTTCACTCAATTAGGAGTTGTAAAAAAAAAAAAAAAAAAATGCTGACGACTGTCGATGTAGCAGATGGGCCGAGTATATAAAAGGAACTCGCTCTTATTAAACACAAGGTGACTTCTTAGAATGTTTCGTTGGAATATATGAGAAGAGTAGACGGGAACTGATGCACCTGGTCGCAAAATGGTAACTAAAAATAAGCCTTTCTAGTGTAGTAATTCGACCGAGTACAACGCTTGTAAAGGTGGGGCGGTGCCACCAGGAAATTATCAGAGAAGGAAAGTTGTAAAAATAAAATGACGGTTATGAAACAGAAATAAAAAGTCATTCCTTTTGGAATGTAGAAGTTTAACAGATACATGTTGTAGAGTTTATCTTAAATTAAATTTCCATATGTCTCTCTAACTTAAGAGATTGAATTATTTTTTGCAAACTCCAAGCAATTTTAGATGTGTGTGACGTAAAAGTGAGGGTAAACTGCATACAAATAACTACAGAAATATTTTTTTACGCCATAATATGATTTGCATTGTTTTTTGTGCGTGTTCATTTACATTTTTTTTTTTTTTTGACTACGGTGAAAAAAAAACATTTTACACGTTTACAGACTGCATTCTTGTGACGGACGACAAAATTCCTAAATGACATGCTTTTTTGAACTTTCAAAAAAGTGTAAGAGACCTTTAAACTTCTTTAACACGTTGACTTCCAGCGGTCAATTTTATTTAGGACTTCAAATGTCAACTTTAGCCAACACTTAATCAATTTTTTTCAAATGCTTCATTATTTATGTGTTATAGATTTTCAATAGGTTTTTCCCATAAAGTTTGTTACAACGAAAAACTCGTGGTTGTAAAAAGCAAACTTTGTTGATGGCAAGACCCCAAAGACGAAATAACTTGTGGTTGATAGTATGAGAATATGCTGACCACGAGTAATCTTGTGATAAGCAGTCAATGTGTTAAACTTCTTTAGTTATCTGAAAAACAAATGTCACATCACAGACGTTAAGCATTTTTCAAGAGATTGTTATTAAAGCGAAATTTGAGACTTTGAATGCATTTTTTTTATTATTATTATTTCTCCTTTTTCGTGTAACTAGCGAGTCGTAAATATTTTTTAAATTTACAACTCGACAGCAAATATTGTAATAATTAAACTTTAACAGTTTTATAATTATTCTTCACGTATGCCTAGACTTACGATAAGAAATAAAATAAAGTGCTTTCTTTCTAGGTGAAATAAAAAAAAAAAGATAACTCACATTGCATGAGTACAGAACTCACAACAATAACCGAATGGCGGTGGTGCGGATTTCGCTTTCGAACTACGAACTTTAATTAAAAAGTTAAATTTTAATGTTTTACTTTCGCCTAAAGCTGTGTGCATTAAATACATACCAGATTTATTATTTGAATCAACCATGATTATTTCAGAATTCTCTAATACGAATACTTGTCTTTCATATTTCCCGCCGTCAAAGAAATCCGTTGAGATCTTGTTTGACTTGTTTACTACGATCGCGCAAAAAACGGTTTAGAAAATACACAAACGAGACACAAAAGAAAACAATCTTCACGTCATTTATTTACCTGGAGGTGCAATATTATCAGAACGAAACACACAAAGACGTTAGATTTTTGTTGTTGGGTTTTTTTTTTTTTTTAGTGAATTGAAAAGTAATTTTTTTTGCATTTTTATAAAAAAAGACCCCAAAAAACTAAACTCAGCCATGAAAAACGTGAAGTAGCAAAAATTAAATCACCGAATTATTCAAAATCGATACTAACACATTAACGACTGCATTTTTTTTTTTTGGCTTAATGAGTTTTTTTTTAGCCAAAAAAAGCAAAAAAAAAAAAATATCTTTTGAAGATGCATTTTTAACTGCTAGATTTCGTGTGGTAAAGAATCAGAAGTGAAAGCTTTAGAAAAATAAATGCAATTTTAATAATTACGTCAATTAAGAAGAGCGAGCCATCAAGCCATTTTTATTTTTAAAAAAGTGACTTAAAATTAAAAAAGTAAAGACTGATACTACAAGTGTCCCGGACTTAAACAAGTCTTCTTGCCTCAAGAAAAAGAACTAAAGTTCACCGAGTGAAGTTCACTGTATAAAAAGAAAAGATTTTTTTTTTTAAAGAGAAAAGCTAAGTCGTTGACAATCAATCACCATGAACAAAAATACACATAAAAGGGCAGCAGTTGAAATGCACACCACAGAAGAAAAATGTTTATTTTTACCACATTTTCCTTTCTTTTCCTGTTTTTTATTTTTGACTGCGTTAAAGTATAGCTCAGTGGTAGAATACGGCAGTGTCGATTTCAAGTAAATTTTCAGGACTTATCAAATTGTTAAAGAAATAGTTTATTATACTCAATTACCATTATTATAAAAACTAACTAATAATGCTGTCAGTTTTTATTCAAAGTGACATATTCTAAATACTAACTTTCATTCATTGACAACGGCTGTGACACGTTGTATTGCTTTCAGTGAAGAGAAGAGATGGATGGAAAAGTCGATGCTTGTTTTAAGAGAAAAGCGACATAAACAGCAACAGAATTTTTCGTTATTTTTGCTAAGAATCATTAATCGGACTTTACAATATTCATCGTAAAGTCAACTTAGGAATGTACGTCAAGAATAATTATTTGTCTTTCTCGTGCCATAACCTGAACTTTGGGAAGGGAAAATGACAAACATTTTTTTTAACACAAAAAATTAAAATATCTCCAATTTGAATGCATGCATATTTGAGAGATAAGAAAATCAATTTTCACATGGGCAAAAATGAAATTAGTTAAGTAAGACATTAATAGGCCTCCTGTTAGTTAACTAAAGATAGACTTTAATTAGAAATGTTGTTTACAGAGACGAGTGTTTGGTCATGTGACTACTTCATCGTTAGTCAGACTGCAGACAAATGGTTAGACTAGAGAGTAGTTTGGGGGTTTGGGAATGGGTATTTTTAGTTGCTCATTCATCAAAATTTAATCAATTTTGACAAGTTTAAAAATATTAAATGAAAAATTCTATGCATCAAAATTGTAAAAAGAAAAAAAAAAAAAAAAAAGGATGAAGAATAAGAAAGAAATAATTCAGTCAATTGAAGAAATAAGAATGGAAATATCAAGAACACCAAACAATTGTTACAAAGCGAACTATTGAGGAGACAAATTAAAAAGGGAGGGGCAGTAAAAATGTAATCAAAATAATATTTGGCTTTATTAGTGAGGAGCACTCAATCGAGAGAGAAATTAAAAATAAAGCAAAGTATTTAAATAAAAAGAAAAAATAATGAATGTAATAGTAATCATTATAACAAAAAAAAAAAAAAAAAAAAGCAGCCAAGGTGTTTTAAGAAAGATTGCTCGGTCGCCCCTTATTTTTTTGACAAGTTCCCACAAGATGCTGCGATGAAGCGAGCTAGTTCATTATTTAGTGAAATTTTCAAAATATAAACTGCAAATAAATCTTCCGACTTCATTTGAAAATTTTAGTTAAAAGTTATACAATATCCATAACCATGCTTCAGCTTCTTATCCTTCTTCTTCCCGGTCTAAATAAGAGCAGAATGGAAACCTTTCGTCCGCTTATAATCCTCTCTTTTAACTTCTCACAATAAAAAAGAAATACTGCAATGCATGTTTTTTTTTTTTTTACACAACAAAAAGGTTTGTTTATTTATCTTTTTAATATGAATGGACGGACTTAACAAGCCACACTATACCCGCGACTTTATTATTATTATTTTTTTAAATCCTTTCATATCACACACACACAGTGATTCACCAATCCCCGGAAACAAAAAAAGAAAAGGGAAGGGAAACTAATCTATAAATATGTAATGTAGTAGTAGAAAGTTTTAAAAGATTTTTCTTTTAAAAGCTAAAAAAAAATTTGCCAATCCTTTTACAAAATAAATATATTACTGTTGTTTTAAGCAAAAAAAAAAAAAAAAAAAATAAATATATATATATATATATATATATATATATATATATATATATATATATATAGCAATTCCAAGACACGGCGAACACCTAAAGGACAGAAAGGAATTATTCAAGCAAGAGCAGCAAGATGTACAAAAAAAATGTTTAAAAATAAATAAATACTGACTTAATTTCTGTAAACAACTTAGTTTAAGTTCGATCACTGGCAATAAATAAATCAGACGGTTAAAGTAAACAGTAAAAACACTGCAGGATAATTGTTAATGTAGAAAATTAGAAATTAAAAAGCTTATGTACAAATGTTTATATCACCATGTGATGGTGAAAGTGAAAGATAAATAAAAAAAAAATAAAATGTAGACATACAAGGAAATTTATTTATGGTGATTTTTTTTAATTAGTTTCACATTTTTTTTTTTTTTTTTTTTTTACACAACAAATGTTTTTCTTGTTTTGGACAATTGAATATTAATTAGTCGCTTTATCTTGTAACGTTTTTGAATAGGAGGAATAAAAAACGGTTTAGAAAAACTGAAGAAAAAGGTAGTCTCTTTTTCTGAACAGATCCACTTACGACAAATCTGGGCATGTTTTTTTGTTTTGTTTTTTTTAATCCATCCAGATCATTTGTTTTCGAAGATGGGGTGATTTATTTTTTAGTCATTACGGGCTCTCACCAAGTTCGTTTTTTCATGACTAAAAAACCGAAGAGGTTTTTGTTTTTTGTGTGTGGGGGGAAAGAGTCTTAGAAATGTTCATTCGAGAAGGAGAAAAAAAATTCCTGATGCAGTTCATTCCGATCTGACAACAAATTTTAAAGATTTTCACTTCTTTATTCGTAAAAATGTAACTGAAAAATGAATGAATCAAGGAAGGAAGGACAGACAAGTTGTAGGTGAAAGTGAAAGAAAATAAATAATTTAAACAACAATTGCAGGAGAGAAAATAAAGACGTAAGTACTTGGATAAATAAATAAATTAAACTTACCGTGGAGAGTTTTCCTTCATGAAGTTCCTGTAATGTAGGCCTTGTTTTAAGGGCAGCTGTAGTGGACAATAAATTTCGGTAGTGGTCTAAATGGGGGATCGCTTCGGTAGTATTTCCTCCAAAGGTTTTCAAATTACTCGTATCATATGAATGTGTCCGGTATGTGTCCGTCGGACTAAAAGAGAAAGTTCCATGGGGTGAATCAGGGTATCTTTCGCTGTTACTATCGATACTGTGTCGATAATGTTGCAGGCTATTTTCCCGTTCTCGGGCCACATTATTCTCTTCGTCATCTTCACAAGGTTCGGCGATGGACACTCGATGCACCTTGAAACGGGAAGAACTATTCCTTTTAGCCTCACTGGGAAGATCCGTCAGTTCATCTTTCGATTCTAGAACCAAGCTGCTATCTCTGGATTTTTTCTTATCCTTATCACGAATTTGCAGGGCTATGTCATCGTCACCGTTTTTATCAATGTTGGTTCCTTTGCTACGAGCCGACGACTTGTCCGCCATATTTCGACTGAGGTGAAGGCCCGACTATATGTGGGAGTGTGTGCGCAAGCGCGCGCTCGGGCGTGTGTGTATTGATATTTAGAGAAAGAAAGAAAGATATTGTAGGAAACTAGCCGAGAAACTGATCTTTTACAATACAATACAATACAATACAGTACATATGTAGATAGATATACACAAACGATTTTTGTTTTTAATTTTCCCCCTGCTTGTCGATGGTAGTTATGAAGACAGAGAAATTTGCTAAAATAAATAAACCTTACTGTCGTTGTCGATAATAGCTAAGCTGCTAATAATTAAAAAACAACAACAAAAAAAAAAAAAAAACGAAAAAACTAAGCCCGAAACCCTGATCAGTATGTCAGTCACCCGTCTGCTGCATTTGTTATGATTGCATGAACGATTATAAAATAAAGCTAATCTTTTTTATCTTCTTATGCTTTCATTTTTAACTCCTTCCTCTTTTAATTCGGCCGGATTTGTTGATTTCTTTCCTTTTCCAGGGGAGGGTAAAAAAATGAATAAATAAATGAGGACTTTTTAAACTAGCGGGTGAGCAATAGGTGTTTGTTTAAAATTAAAAAAAAATTAATTGTTGAATAATTTTTGGTAGATGGGGAGACGTAAAGTTTTTTTTTTTTTTTAATTAGTGGTGGAAACTAAGCTACTTAAATAATTTAAAATGGAAACGGGAATATATCTTAACAAAAAAGTGAAGACTGAAAAAAAAAAAAAAAAAAAAAAGAGCAATAATGGGATAAGTTTTTGTTTTTCGAAACAGATTTCAGGAAAATACTTAATTAGAAAAAGTTACGAGTTTTCATTTTTTTTTTAGCAATGCTTTTTTTTTTTTTTCGTAATGGAGTTAATGAAAATATGGAAACAAAAATGAAATGTTTGTTTTCCTAAGAAATACTTTTTTTTGGTTTAAGACTCGAAAAAAAAAAAAAAATAAATAAAATAAATAAATAAAAGTAAAACAATTAACGAAAATAATGTTTAAATGAGTTTTTGATGAATTGGCAAGTATAGAAATCGGGGAAAATTCGGAAAAGTAAAGAAATATGAATTGTAGATTTCTCTTCTAACCCCCCAAAGATTGAAACAAAGAAAGATTTAGTAAATAAAACAAAAGAAATTTTCGTTTGTAACTTAAGAAATTTTGCTTGAACGTAAAAGTCAGAAGGAGAAAGAAAGTTTACTTTGTGGTTTAAGAAGAGAAACAGAAAATGAATAAAAGGTTAAGAAAAGAAAGAGGAAATGAATAAACGAATTTGCTACAGTACTACACTCAACTAAACAGATTTCTTTTCTTGTGGAAAATAGAAAAATATCAATGCAATATGGTTTGAATGAAAATAAATGAAATAAAGAAAAATTTAAGAAAGTTGAAAAAGAGAAACTGTTTGAAATAAGTTATATTTCAAATAACTCAGAACTTTTTTTGTTTATGCTTCTTTTCGGCCCCTGTTTTTTCTTTCATTCTATTTCAGGTTCTTGTCTCTCTTTCTTTCACGACTTCGTCACCGTCAAGAAAAAAGATTCAATACCAATTATTATAAACTAAAGTGAACAACAAATATTTCTTCTTTCCATAAGCTTTTAAACTTGACTTCTGAGGCGTAGATTGAGAAATATGGTGAAGGCAAATCCACCCAGGCTAAACCATTAACAGGCGGAAAAAAAGAATAACTATTGTTTTTCTTTAAAAAGTTAATCTTTTCTCTCGCTCTCTGTCTCTAAAATAAAATTTTAAAAACCCTGAATAGTGTATATATCAAGAAGACAAAAAATAAAAAAATAAAAAAACAAGAACTTGAAAGCAAGTCAAGTTGCAGCGGGGGGTGCCAACAACACCTTTAACTTCCCTCTTTTTTTCTTTTTTTTTCTTTTCAAAAAAGGCGTTACCCTACCCAGGCCAGAGTATCAGTATATAGAGACCATAGCCTGATTCTATTATGTACATTCATAACAATGACGGAGATAAATAGATATTATATTCAATAATAATCGACTAAATCCTGTTATTAGTAAAAGTAGTAGTGGCAAGCGCGCTATAAAAGTAGTAGTCGTCGAAGTGGTGCCTGTTCGTCTTCTTGGCTAATGGTTGAAAAAAAAGTCTTGTTGTTGATGAAGAATTCCTCGTTGTTCTGGCGATTTTCTGCGGCTTCAAAATTCAAGGAAAAGTGTTGGCGACATGTTTCTGCAGCCAACTGGTGACAACAGAATGACACCTTCTTGTCGAGAAAACAGCCACTATGAATGTTGCCATTTCGCAGGTATTTACGCTGTGACGGCGGCCTTCCGCCATAGCAGACGATAAAAATGCCGCATTCAATGATTTAAAATGAAACTGCAGGAAAATGGCTAAGTGGGGTCGACGGAAAACGATAATCCGATAGAGACGGAAAGTATGATTGAAAAGAAAAAAGCTTTTTGTAGTGTTAAGTTGGATAAAACAAAAGAAATGGAACAGTTAAGTTATTATAAAAAAAGTAGCGGATTAAATGCCGGATAATTTAAGTTTGCAACTTTATTATTAAATAATGAATTTTTATTTTATATTTATTTTTTATTTTTTTAATAAAAACAACAAAATCTACGAGTTTCCAGTACACTGTGTGGGTTGACGTTTTAATCAGTAATTCGCACTCATGCCTTTGGAGAATCTGTTTTTCCCCATCCCTAGAGACAGATAGATTTACAAAAAAATAAAAAAAGAAGCCTCAACGGTTGGCCGAGAAAATGTGAGTACTTAGGTAAACTACGGTACCATAATTATGTTACATGTCTGAAAGTAGCTCTTAAAAACTGTTACCCTCCGCCGCCCATCATCAACGATAAAAAAAAGTTCAATCAGTCATTTTTGGCTTACGGCCATATCACGTTGAAACACCGATTCTCGTACGATCACCGAAGTTAAGCATCGTCGAGCCTGGTCAGTACCTAGATGGGTGAGCGCTTGGGAATACCAGTTGCTGTAAAATTGGATATGCGAATGGTGTAAATGAATAGATAACGGCTCGGAATTGGAAATCAGAAAGTCAATTTCCAATTCCAGTCGGGTTCGCTATATTCACTTACTCGCAAATACGCTTTAGAAAGGAATTAATCTATCTCTCCCCCAACTATGAGTTAACTATGAACTTTCTTACAATATAAAAATATTTTCTGGCTTTAAATAACCTGCAAAAGGTTGATCCACCATAAAAAATCAATCACTTAGTCATTTAAATTATTGATAACACAACTGCTGACTAGTTACTCTTGCAAATAATCATTACTACGTTGGTTCACTAGGTTCCAACTCTTGGAGATTTCTGTCAGACTTATAAAGGCGACATGTCATGGAGCAATAGTCAGCCTCGCTTGACCATTCATGAGTTTGATCCTTACTGGGTGCCCCACAATTGTAGTCTTGTTTCACATGAAGTTATGTTTAGTGACCGCACTAGACTTTTAGACTATTACTATGTTGAGTTTGATCCTTACTGAGTGACCCATAATTGTGGTCCTGTGTCAGACTGCAATAAGCTGAGAAAGTAACAACACTTGTATGAGAAAAGGGCGATGCTATAGCAGAGTGATTAATTAGCTTATTTTATAGCTCATTTGCGAAGGAAGTGAGTTCGATCCCATTTACTGTGTCCTTGTGCAAGCCAAGCGTTGTGCAAGCCATGCCTTGTAAGTACTTAAAAGCGTGGATCAATAAGTCCGAAGCCTTATATGTAGTTCTTAGCTTAATTTCGATTTGAATTTTTCACTGTATAATGAATTATGCGATTTATATTTACCTTTCAGTTAACATGGAAAGGGATTACGTTGAAAAATAAATATTTTTTATGGTTTTCCATCATTAAGGCGCGGACATATTGCTGTATTTAAATGTTCGAAATTCGAAGTAGTTCTTTAAAGTTGTTTTGAAAATAAGGAATATTCTTGTACATTTGGTTCAAATTCCTTGAACTTTTGAGCAGAGTAACTCATACAAGTCATCATCATTATAAGCATCATCATCATCATCATCATCATCATAAAGATCATCTGTTCCTTGACCGGGTGTGGTCGTAAGGTCGCTGCGAAGCTGAGCACCTGACCAGCTCTCTTTGTATGCTTCGGTGGGTATTCGTTTACATTTAGCTTGTCTTGTGTAAAGCAGACCAAGCGGAGCTCATTCCTCACCAGATCAGATTAGAGATGATGCCCTTCGACTTAAAGTATGAGTATTAGATATTAAGTATATATATTTTATGCATGTCTGTCTGTCTGTCTGTCTCTCTCTCTCTCTCTCTCCACACACACACACACACACACACACATATATATATATATATATATATATATATATATATATATATATATCCTTCCTACTTGGTTTAATACATTCTTCAAACCCAGTCCACTCTTTGTGGCCATGTACAATACTAAGCTAAGCTTAATAACTATAAGTATCTATGTATGTTTATGTATTATATACATGTAAATGAATACATGTGAAGAATGGGAGTGTCTTTCATAGGTACTGCATCGGATTTCCTAATAAAAAAATAAAATAAAATAAAAAAACAGATTCTTTGAAGTTAAATTTTGGTTTTATTTGAAAGACACCTAAGGTGAGAAATGGCACCATGACATTTTCCACTGAGCAATATAAAACACACACACAGACACACACACACACACACGTATAAAACACACACAGACACACATACATATTTTACATAGATAAAGCCCTTCGTAAGGTGTGGGCTGTACTCGTGAGAACAATTTTTTGTACTTCTTTAAGGTATGGGCTACCAGGAATTCCTTCAATGATTCTATTGGAATCCTTTCCAATCAATCTGAGGGCTCCAACTATAACAGGAATTGTTGATGTTCTCATGTGCCACATTTCAAGGTCCTTGTATTTTGATAGCTTTTTGAGGGCTGACAAAATGATTGGCATAGAGATTTGTGTAAACACGTCGGCATTTCTAATTTGACTGACAACGACGACCTGT